TAACATCATAACACTTGCACAGCAACACCACAACAAAGTGTTCAAGGTGCCACTCTCTCTATCTTCAATGTTGCCTTGCTCTCCTCCTTCACCTCTGGTAATCTTGAGCCATTTAAGTGCCAGCCATCTTTCCAGAGGTGCACAATCGACCACCTCTAACCTCTCATACCAACGGTTTTTAAACAAAAGGATACTTGTAACTAGGAATAATAAAATAAAAAAAATTAAAAAAAAAAAAACTCAATATATAACTGATTTGTCGAAATCTATTTAACATGGATACAGATACAAGATATGATATGATATGATATGATATGGATGCAGCGATACGAAAAATCTATAAAAAGGGATACAGTTATGGCCAAGATACGTTGAAAATATATATATATATATAATTTTTGGTATTATATTACACGAGCTCAAAAAAATAATGAGAAACCTTTTTTAAAGAATTAGATATTAAGGGGTTGTTTGGGATGACCTAAATAAGTGCACTTTTTGTCTTTTTACGAAAAGATGTGCAGAAAAGTAGAGAGGTGATGCGATGAAAAAAAATAAAAAAATAAAAAAATAAAAAGATGAATTATTTTTGGGTTGCCAAACTTGGCCTAATTTAAGAGACAACAATCAGTTAACTTTTTTTTAGTGGATACATTAATTTGATAAAATCTTTAAAATAAATAAAAAATAAAAAGAGTAGGGTACTACTTGAATCTCACTATATTCTTGCTTGGTAAGAAATAAGAAAATATTGAAAAATTATTGTATTTATTCTAATAATTATACTCAAATACTATTCAAAAATTATTACAATCTAATTTTCATAACAGTTTAGATACTTGACCTAGAATGTCCAAAAAGTATATGATGCTTCTAAAAAATAACAATAAGTATTTGATATGTTTGGAAGTATCGAGTATGTATCCAAGGAGTATCAATGTTTGATATGGGTACCATATGGACACGACTCCCTGTTAAAATTATTCATGTTTCATAGGTCGTAATGTGTAACCAAAAATGACCTTTTTAGCCTTTTATAAAAGAAACATTTATAAAATAATTAAAACGAATTCAGATATTTCAAGCCAAACAAAAGAAAGTTAATAAAGTGTCTCAACATGAAAACAGAGCAACGAAGCACGAGTATATTTGCACTAGAAAAGCTTTCATTCACCGTTCATCACAAACCAACAAGAAACTTCGATATCAAATAGAAAAAAGATACAGGCAAATGGGACATCATTTGGGGCATGTCTAATGAGTGTCTGCATCTGACATGAACATATCATATTCTTAGAAGTGTTCTTGCTCCGGCTCAAGGCATTTTGAAGCCTAAAGTGAACAACTTAAAATGAGGCTTTCAAAAAAAGTTAATACTGTTGTCGAATTTTTTATTTAAAATTTACTTTCCTAGCTTTTTGAGATACATAATTACTAAATAAATCTTTGTACTCAAGTTTTGCTAACAAATCATTTTCAATCAATAGTATAGGCTATAATCCACTTAATCTTGTTAATCTTAAGTAGAAATTTATCAATTTTAATTTTAAAAAGCTTATTTCTGCATAAGCAATGATTACATGTAATGTCAATAATACTCCGCAACCAATGCATAAAATTAGAAGGAAAAAAATCTAATATTTTAATATAATTTATTACCTCAATTGAAGTGTTTTTCCTCCTAATATTTTAATATCATTTATTATCTCAATTGAAGTGTTTTTCCTCTCTGTAAAATTTATTTTAAAACTTTCAATCCTAAAAACAAATCTAAACCATCAATATCAAAATAATTGTCACATTTTAGGTTATATTTGAGATTAAAACAATATTTTTTTAAACTATCATTGTATAATGATTTTAAAATTTTGAAATCAAATAAAAACCAAAACCACCTTCGTATATTTAAAATTGATGGATAGAAAATAAATGAAATAGTAGGTGTTTTTTGGTCATCTGAAAATTTGTTTTTGATTTTTTCTATTATTGTAACATAAGTTGACTCCTTTTGACTTTTGGGAACTTTGATAAATTATATTAAAATATTAGATTTTTTTTCCTTCTAATTTTATGTATTGGTTGCAGAGTATTATTGGCATTACATGTAATCGTTGCTTATGCAGAAATAAGCTTTTTAAAATTAAAATTGATAAAATTCTACTTAAGATTGACAAGATTAAGTGGATTATACACTATACTATCGATTGAAAATGATTTGTTAGCAAAACTTGAGTGCAAAGATTTATTTAGTAATTATGTATCTCAAAAAGCTAGGAAAGTAAATTTTCTTAAGGTGTGAGGCATTCTTTTAGGAAAAAAAATGATAATAAAGCATATGGGTCTTAACTAATGATATAAAAAGGATTGGGCGTCTTCCCAACATATATTTTTTAAAATAATATTCTATAAAGGACCAAGGGGGTGCCAAAGCCAATCATATACAAGAGCAAATAAAGAAAACTATACACCAAAAACCAATTCAAAGGTCTCTAGAAAAACCAAAAAAAGAGTCAAGGACAAGTTAACTGTCCACCAAAACCAACTATACAAAATGAACTAAAACATGCTCTTTAATATCAAAATTGACTCTTCTTCACAACAGAAGTTATTTTATTCCTCTCTCTGCATACTACCAACATGCATGCTGAAGGAACCAAACTCTAGGCCATCTTCCTTCTTTTCCCAACAATGGCGCCTTTCCAAGAGCAAAGGAGACCCCTCACGCTCTTAGGGAATGCCCAATCCACACCAAACAAGAAAAGGGTCAAAGATCACAACTCTTGGACTGCCTTACAATCAATGCTACATGGCTCATGCTTTCCTCGTCATGTTTGCACATGCAATAGTAGTTGACATGCACTTGCCTTTTTTTAATCAAATTGGCAATGGTGAAGATCTTATCATGAGATGCACACCAAACAAATAAAGTCACCTCGGACAGAGTCTATGTCCCGCAAACCTCCTTCCAAGGCAAGGATGGGCCCCCATCACCTCTTAAGGGCTCATAAAAAGACTAAGCATCAAACTGAACGGAGAAAGTCCACCACTACCAAGCAGGTAGCATAAAAACATGAGAGAAGGTCCAACGAATTTCTCATGGCTGAGTAACTGACTGTTGGAACTTGGATGTATATCTACACTTATAATCTATTTGGTTCATTAGAATGAGAGAGAATGGAATGGAATGGTGATTCCTTAGACTTTTCTATGGAATGACCATTCCATTTAAATGGTGAAAGATGATTCCATTTGTCATTCTTTGTTAGTCTAACCAAATATGATAATGAATATTTTGCTGGAATTATCATTTTGTTCCACTTCATTCCAGTGAACATCAGTACTTACCAAATAAACTTCTCAATGCCTCTCCTATCTCTTGCTCACTAGTGGGGAAAAAAATTAGGCACATGGAAGACAATTTGTAGACATGATTGGTGATGAGCTCTTCTTCACACATATTTATTTGACATGTTATGCACAGTTTAACATTCATGCTCTATTTTGTTCACTAGAATGAGAAGGAATGGAATGGAATGGTGATTCCTTAGGCTTTCTTATGGAATGATCATTCCCCTAAAATGGTGTAAGATGATTCCATTTATAATGCATTTGTCAATGTTGTTTTAGACTAACCAAACATGGGAGTGAATATTTTGATGGAATGATCATTTCATTCCACTTCATTCCAGTGAACCAAACGCTACCTTAGCACGATCTACTATTAACTTTATCTATGAAATTTCCACCTTTGGGAAAGAAGATACTCATAGATTACAATCTTTAAGCAGAAAATATCGTCTTTCTCAACTTCAACAATCTCTTTCAAAGAAAAATGGTTACTAAATTATTGTGTCATTCACAGCGCCTAGAAACTGAATGGTTAAAAATCCAACCAGAAGAGTACCACAAATTCACAAGAAAATTGAGAAGCTCAAGAATCTGTTTATTAAAAAGGTTCTGGGAAATTTTAAGTTTGCCAATTTTCAGTAAATGTAATACCCAAAAAAAAAAATCAGTAAACCAAATGAAACCAAGCCTTAAGTCCTATCAAATAGAGTCGTTCTTCTCCACGTGGCCCTATCAAAGGCCATTTCATTAGTCAAATTAAGTAGATCCATATCTCTATTTACAACGCTAGCCAACGTTAATCTAGGCCTACCCCGTCCCCTAACCCTTCCATCTACAGTTACAGTATCGCATCTTTTCACTACTACCTTTGTTGGTCTCCGTTGAATATGACCAAACCATCTCAATTGATTCTCTCTTAACTTATCTTCTATCGGTGCTACTCCTACCCATTCCCGAATACGCTCTTTCCTAATTCTGTCTTGTCTAGTTTTGCCACACATCCACCTTAGCATCCTCATCTCAGCCACACTCATCTTATCTACATTTTGTTTCTTGGTTGCCCAACACTCCGTCTCATACAACATTGCTAGTCTAATAGCCGTTCTATAGAACTTTCCTTTTAGTCTAGTGGGTATTCATTTATCGCACAGTACCTCAGACGCACTTCTCCACTTACACCATCCCGCCTTAATCCTATGGGCCACATTTGCATCAATCTCCCCCTCTACTGTGATACTCGATCATAAATAACGAAAATATTCACTCTTCGGCAGTTCTTGGTTCTCAATCCTCACTTCGCCTCTGCTTTCATTGTTACTGTTACTAAATTTACACTCCATATACTCTGTCTTAGTTCTGCTTATCCGGAAACCTTTAGATTCAAGAGCTTTTCTCCAAATCTCCAACTTTGTGTATAGAAGTTAGTAGGATTTTTAATTTTCGCATTTTTGTCCTTGTGAAATTTGATGTTGGATTGAGGATGTGGTAACCTCTATTCCATAGCAAATTACTGAACCAACCCCACAGTCAGATCAACTCCAAGATTGTCTGACAACAATTTTAGAAGTCCAACTTCATTTTAAATTACGATGTCACATACAACAAACCTTTGAAATTACGCTGAGTTTCACTCAGCCAAGATAAGAAGATACCGTATCAATCAATGTGTGGTTAAGCCCATCAACAGAATCCGAATGCTGATCAAGTTCAAGTAGAAATCTTCGACTACCAAGGTAACCCCAGGACTCTCCAGTGAAAATTACAAAAACAAGCTGCAGTAAGAAAAGGTAGGGTGGGGAGGAGAACTATCAGCAAAGCAACAATACAAAAAACCACAAGCAGAACAACAATATATTTGACGAACAAAAAGGAGGAAAAATCACGGGACAATCAGCAAAAGTCAAAACACATACTACAGCTAATGAAACACACCAGCTGATCAATGACCTCTACCATTCCAATGACATACTTAAGCATGAATACCTAGAAATGCTTGGATAACAAGAAAATATAAGAAGATATCAACAATGGCCATCAATGAGTGTCAGTGTGCTGAGCTACTCAACATAGTAGATAAGGCAAACTTACAAGCAGGGGATATCTCTAATGGTGAACAAATGAGACACAAAAAACATATTACAAGTTAACAGCTGAGAAAAAAGAAAAAAAAAAGCCTACAGATTTAATTGGTGATGACCATTCCATTGATCTAATGCAAACCTATGAGCTGGGCATTCAACATATAAATTTATAACAAATACATAAAAAAATGGAGACCAAAACTGTTTTAGTATGCAGAAATGTCTGCAAGAAATTCAATGCATCTGTCTAGACTAAAGCACACATTTCCAGAGTAACCTTCACTAATAGCAGTGAAACAAAAATAGCTCACAATTGGCTCCCTTTTCCATCCGAAGGCAAAGAGCTAAAAACGGTAGGCTAACCTTTCTCTCACTGCAGAAACGTAAAGATATCCATTCCTTCCCTATCACTCAATGGATTTTCTAACACAAGCACAATATACATATGTACATTCAAAGAAGTGAATGGACAAAAAGCACAATAAGTAATTATTAAATTAAATATTACCGCCAAAACTATAAACACATCCCAAACCACTAAATAGTCAATAAAAACAGCTAACTTTAAAGATAAAAAATTCTATCAACTTATTAACAAAGCATATCATTATATTAAAAACTCCAGAAAATCAGCAAACTTGTCACCAGCTACGTAAAATACAAGTACTATCTCATATACTCACCTGTTTACCAAGATTATCCAAACCATCAACACGAGAAAGAGCATCAACTGCCACCAGCAATGAGATCAATCCCTAAACAGTGGTTTAAACATAATTTTCTGCCTTAATTCAGATCAGAAAAGCAATACAAAAAAAATGGATTGGCTTCTACAATGGCAAATATTTGTGTCAAGAGACTTTCACTTACGGATATAGGGGAATCTGCACCAAGGCTTTTGTCACGAAAGAAAGAAGCAGAGTCCATGGATGCCACTGTTAATATAGTACGCTTGGATGATTCTGAAGACAAAGTTTTAATTGGTGGAAGTGCTGACCACACACTGCCCTTCATATTAAAGATACATGAAGTTAAAGATTAATGTGAAAATCCTTCCCAGTTCTCTATATATTTATCTTATGCAGTCAATTGATAAGCAATGCTAAAGATTCTCTTCATTCTCCGGTATAAACCACAACATTCGATCTTTAGAAGCTACAGGCAGATTTGGGGTAAAACTTACAGTAAGCATGAATAAGTATGCCCCCAAGACATAAGCATCATCAATACTGCAAACAAAAAGACATATTCTGGTTGGGCTAATACTTGCAATTTTATGTCACCACCTAGCTGGAAAACTTATGGTTTTTGACACATTAACCACTAAAGGTATATCAACCAATGTTGCTAGAAAACACTAATACCCTAGCGTTTATGTTCTGGAGTGCACATTTCGAAATATAATACACTTTCGTTCCAGAATAGTGAATTTAGCAATGCAAATTGATCTCAAATTTCTTTCCTATGTATTTTCTTTAAATTATTCCTTGGGAAGAAAGAAACCAATCTGATAAACTAAAATCTATATTAGAGTTTTGGCATGATAAAATGTATATAAAAAAATAATAATAATAAAAATAGAGAGGCAATAATGCTCCTAGAATTGTGTTTTCACATGAATAATTTGAAGAATAACCAAACCAAACTAAGCCTTGTGCAAATGGGGTCTACTACATGAATCATTTTTGCCATTATGCTCTGTCAAGGTCTTCCCCTCCCCTTGACATTTCTATTTATGGTGATCATAGCACTCTTCCTAACCGTATATGTCATCATTGTATGACTAAACCATCATAATATGATCTCTCTCAACTTTTAATTGGTACTACTCCTACAATTTTATGAATATATTAATTTCTAATTCAATATTTCCTAGTCTTATCACATATTCATCTGACCATCTTTTATCTCAGTTACGCTCATTTTATGAATGTGTTGTTTCTTAGTTGTCTAACATTCTACCCCATAAAGCATCATTGGCCATATAGTTATTCTATTAAAAAAAAAAAATTCTTCCAATTTTGTTGATATTCGTTGCTCACATAATATGTCATACACACTCCACTTGAACAAACTTACTTTGATCTACTTAAAGCTAGCTACAGGAGACTATAATCTAGAATGGCGCTACAATATAAGACACAGGACCATTTTTTATTGGACTAGGTCAGCCTATATTGGAAATAAATCCCTCAATAATAGCCCAACTAAGTCTGGTCATTACCATGTTAACAATAAACCCATTGTTAGCTTACTTTTATCACATCCCAATTGTTAGATGAGATATTGCGATAAAACAATACATGACAAGCTGAAGGTCCAAATTAAGGTGTGCAAGAATAAGAGGACTAGAAAAAATATTGTTTAGTTTTTGTTGCCAATTCAAAAAAAAAAAAAAAAAAAAAAAAGAAAGAGGAAGAATAATATTGGTTTAGGCAAGACGTAGTAAATGGCTCTGGTTTAGTGGCACAATAGCACCAAGCTCATGCATAGCTACCAATGCCAAATTTTAGGGAACTCTATTTGGAGCAACTGCAACAAGATTTTTTGTGGGGCGGTGGAGGGGAGGGTTTCATTATCATTTGGTTGTGTGGGAGAGGATTTGTACTCCTAAGGTGAGGGGGGGCTTGGGTGTGAGGAGGTTGGTGGTGTTTAACCGGGCTCTTTTGGGGAAATGGTTGTTGCATTTTGTTAAGGAAACGAAGCGGTTATGGAGGAGGGTGGTGGTGGCGAAGTATAGGGTGGAGAGGGGGGAGGGGTGGGTGGGAGGGGACTGACATGGGGGGGGGGGGGGGGGGGGGGGGAAAGAGTTCATCTCTCTTTCATTCATTTCCACTTTGTCCTTACTCGGTGTACCGAAAAGCGCAACATTTAACAAAATGCGAGCGTCGGAACATCGTAGGAACATTTTTCAAAAACTATTTTGAAAGAGAGGGTTTCAAGGTCTAAAATCTATTCAAAATAGTTTTGGTCCAAAAAAGGGGTGTGAGGTTTGGATTTGACGTTCTCCTTGCCAAAGAAATCGACCCTTTGCATAGCATATCCTGCATCACTAAGTAAGCAATCAGTAGTGCCCAAGTCTTAAGGGTAGTCAAAAATGGGGTGTCTACAGTATTTGATTGGGGTGGATGGAGTTTTGGGATAGGACCCGGATTATGGTGGGGGTGGGGGTGGGGGATAGGACTCGCTTTTGGCAGGATCGGTGGTGCAGCGAGGTGCCTTTGGTGAGTATGTTCCCTATGATTTATGCTATTGTTGCGGATGGGGAGGAGGTGGTTGCGTCTGTCATAGTTAGGCAGGGGCAAATGTCTGTTTGAAATGTTCATCTTCATCGTGATATGCAAGATTGGGAGCTGGATCAACTGGTGGACCTTCTGGGCTTTTTGTATGGTGTGAGGGATAGAGGGGATGGGGAGGATTTCTTGGTGTGGGATTGTCTGAGATCTAAAAGGATTTTTTCGGTGGCTTCTTTTTATGGTGTGCTCGAGGGGGGTAGTACGGTTGTGTTTCCATGGAAGAGCATTTGGGTGACGGGATTACCATCTAAGGTTACTTTCTTTGTTTGGACAACCACTTTGGGACAGATTTTGACTATTGACAATTTGATCCAACGGGGGCATGTTTTGGTTAACTGGTATTGCATGTGCTATAGGAATGGGGAAACAGTGGATCATTTGCTTCTACATTGTCCCGTTGCGTCCCAACTTTGGAGTTTTATTGTTGCATTGTTTGATTTGGTTTGGGTGCAACCGGGGTTGGTGCCAGGTGTGTTACAAAGGTGGGGTGGGGCTAGGGTGGGGAAGAGGCGTCGGAAGGCCTGGATTCTTGCTCCCCATTGTTTGCTTTGGTTGGTGTGGTTGGAACGAAATAGGCATGTTTTTCGAGATGAGTGCCATTCCGTTTTATGGTTAGAGAACCGATTGTTGATGGTGTTGCATAGTTGGGTTACGGGTTTGGTTGATCCAAATGTTTTGATTTTTATAGATTTTGTGGAGGATTTGATTAGTTAGTTTTGTTTGGGCCTTTGTGGGCTGTTTTTGTATTCTTTGCATCGTCTTGATACCTTTCTAATAAAATTGTTCATTTATTTATGCAAAAAAAAAAAAAAAATAGATGAATAACGATTTACAGAGTTTGCTAGCATAGGGGTTAATCTAACATAAAACACATCTTAGCACATAGAGAGGCAGTTAATGAATTTCAAGTCTTCTTTCATGTGTATCATTCTCCTCCTCTTTCAATGAAATCACATGACTTATCAAGAGGGTGGGGGTGGAATGTGTGGGTCGGACTAGTCTATGATAAGTTTAACAAAAATTGTAAGGAAATAGTATTGTTTAAGCCAAAGAATGAAGTAGAATGATGAAAATACCATCCAGTGAGCAACATACAATTGGTTGGACAAAGGCTTTTCACAAGTTAAATTGATTTAAGTAGATCACAGAATACTTCATATTATGTGCAAGCTCCTAGCACCATGTTGTTCTCCTACTGACCCTGAACTGACAAGTCAATAGCTAAGAAAATAATAACAAAATAATCCAAGAACACCAAGTTCTAATTGGTGTATGCCCATGATAGGAAGGGGTTGTTTGGGATGACCTAAATAAATGTACTTTTTGGCCTTGTTTGGTTTGTGTTTCCCAAAAATTTTTGGGAAAAATTCTCTACAAATAAGTTTTCAAAAGTAATTAAACCAAACAAATTTTTTCAAAAAAATTTCCCAAAACTTGTTTGGTTTATAAGTTTTCAAACAAATCTCTCTCTTATACACATCAAATCAATCACTTTTTCCAAAACTCTCTCTCAAAATAATTTTCCAAAACATCTTTTGAAAAAAAACCAAACCAAACAGCTTTTCGTACTTTTTATCTCTAAAACTCATCTCCCAAACTCAAACCAAACATACCCTTTATCTTTTTACGAAAAGATGTGCAGAAAAGTAGAGAGGTGATGTGATGGAAAAAAGATAAAAAGATAAAAGATGGATTATTTGAAATATGCCAAACTTGGCCTTAGATGTTGAAGGAAACAACAAAAGAGGGAAGGGTGAAAGATGTTTAAACCTAAAAATAACCCTTAATCCTCGCCATGATGGTTTTGTTTCCACCTAACATCTGCTAAATCCAAATTTAAATGGCAATAAGAAAACACCATGGAAACAGGAAATCACAAGAACTTCACCTGTATCCACCTAATGGAAGGCAAGTCTCTTCTTTCAAGCAAGATTCTGAATCATGAGTTCCCACTTTTGTTGTCTAATCAAAATGAAACATACTAATTATCAATACACAGTATATAGAACTTGTAAAGAGTTACTTGAAATAATCATCACATGTTGGATCAAACAATATGCACCACCACAATCTCTAACCTGCATGACTAAATCAAATTCAGCAACATCTGCAGTATAACCTTTCTTGTTTCCATCATTCTTTATGGCTGCCTGAATGTACAAGTGAGAGCATTAAACACACACAACATAAACCAAGAGTCCAAGATGGTAGTTCATAGAGTGGCAGTGACTCCATCAGCTTGCATAAAGTTCATCTGGTTAAAAAGCTGTAGAACGGTAAACAAAGTGTTCCTCATGTTTGAAATATTACTTAAAAGACACCTCTTAGCATAAAAAGATAATCCTCTTGTTTTCTGCAGAACTTTCAAACTCTTGGTTACTAGCACCTCCATTCTATTCCAGCACTACCAGAAGGAAGCCCAACCACACCTTGGATACTATTCAAACTGATACATTAGGAGTCTTCATAAAATATTATGGGTGTAAATAAAAGGAAACAACAAAAGAGGGAAGGGTGAAAGATGTTTAAACCTAAAAGTAACCCTTAATCCTCGCCGTGATGGTTTTATTTCCACCTGACATCTGCTAAATCCAAATTTAAATGGCAATAAGAAAACACCATGGAAACAGAAAATCACAAGAACTTAACCTGTATCCACCTAATGGAAGGCAAGTTTCTTCTTTCAAGCAAGATGCTGAATCATGAGTTCCCACTTTTGTTGTCTAATCAAAATGAAACATACTAATTATCAATACACAGTATATAGAACTTGTAAAGAGTTACTTGAAATAATCATCACATGTTGGATCAAACAATATGCACCGCCACAATCTCTAACCTGCATGACTAAATCAAATTCAGCAACATCTGCAGTATAACCTTTCTTGTTTCCATCATTCTTTATGGCTGCCTGAATGTACAAGTGAGAGCATTAAACACACACAACATAAGCCAAGAGTCCAAGATGGTAGTTCATAGAGTGGCAGTGACTCCATCAGCTTGCATAAAGTTCATCTGGTTAAAAAGCTGTAGAACAGTAAACAAAGTGTTCCTCATGTTTGAAATATTACTTAAAAGACACCTCTTAGCATAAAAAGATAAACCTCTTGTTTTCTGCAGAACTTTCAAACTCTTGGTTACTAGCACCTCCATTCTATTCCAGCACTACCAGAAGGAAGCCCAACCACACCTTGGATACTATTCAAACTGATACATTAGGAGTCTTCATAAAATATTATGGGTGTAAATAATTAAATCCAATTTTTGACTGTTGAAAAAGACAACACTGACTTTTCTCTAGATTTGTTATTCTCTAGAGTCATCCATCACGAGAAGTAAAGAAAAGAATAAACAAATAAAAGAAGGAAAAAATGAGCCAAGTGAAGAACAAAGAAAAATGAAAGGATGAAAACTGGTATCAATTGTGTACACTTTTATTTGTTAGTTGTCAACATAATTTTGATATTTTGTATTCCATTGCATTGTATTGTTGGGTGGTTCCCTCCTTAATGGGGTCCCACACCAAGACTCAAAATGAGTCAACTAGTTGTATTTTATTTTATTTGTTAAGCTTCTTTGAGAAGTCTTGCACCGTCAAACAAAGAAAAGAAAAAAAGGAGACTTTTGCTATCCTCCTTGAGTTTGCGGGGGGCTGTTAGAATTTACCATAAACCTACCACCACTACCACCTCACCTACTCCACTAAACCTAACCCACTACACCACTACCACCTCCACTTCACCTACTCTCCACCTACTCCCAAACACACTCCTATATAATAGGAATCCTTGTAATTGTAATTAAACAACATATATCAATCAAATACAACCATACACATCAATCAATAATACATAAATTTTTGCACAAAGAAAAGAAAAAAAGGAGACCTTTGTATCTGATTTAATCAACACACAGCAACAGCAAAATAGAGTGTCGCGAGAGAGACCAAGAAGAGGAGAAAAAAGCTAGATTTTCTTCCATACTTCAAACCAAGATCGGGTGGTTAATTTAAGTCCCATTTTGATGAAATTTGAAGTATGTTGCTCATGAAGACAAGCTCTACACTTTGATTGGAGTTGATTTTGTCAAAGCTCTCTTGGATTTGTAGCTTTGAAAATCCACTTTGGTGAGACCTAAACTTTTACCTTTTGTTGATTTCGTTGAAACCCACCTTTGTGATGGTGATATAATTGATGATTAGTGATCCATGAATATTCGCTTGATGATTGTATACCTCTAGTTGTAACTAGAAATGACATCTTGCAACCCCATTTTTTTATAGAGGAAGTTTGATTCAGAGTTGGACCCATAGACATAGTCACTTTGCCAAACTACGTAAATTTAGTGTTTTGTGATTGTTTTTGTTGCCTTTAATTTTTCAGCCATATTATTTCTTATTGTTTGTGGTTTGTTGCCCATTTTCTATTCACACAAGGAGGGAAAAATATAGGGATTTTGCCAACAAGTATAGTCGCTAGACTAGTATCAATTGAAATTACTAGTTCTCATTTTACAAAATTAACAAAAAAATAACAATGGAATATTAACGGCCTGTTTGGTAATGTCTTTGTTTTTTGTTTTCTATTTTCAAATTTTGTTTTCTAAAATTTTGAAAACTAGTAACTAAAATATGTTCGGGATTTTTGTTTCCAAGAAATGGCAAAATTTTCAAAATTTTTTAAATCAAGGGAGTATTTTCAAAACAAGTTTTGATTCTCTCCACACACCCCCACCACACAAAACATGTCTCTTTGCTTTTGTTTTTGGGGCCCACTTGGCGTAGCTTCTTGTGCGTAAAGTCCTTCATGAAAAAGGACTTTGTATGAACTTCATAAAAGGACTTTTATGAGAAGATGTATATTTGGTGAATGGTTTGTTTGTATGTCCTTTGAAGTCAGGCCAATTTAAAACAACCAAACATCATAATTGTGGGGCCCATAGGATTGGTAATCTAATTCCAACATCTACAATGGATAACAAACATGATCTTAATGCCTTTTTAATGTATACATTTAACATATGTATATGTCTATATATATTCAAAATTAATAAAAAGCAATGTAAAGCGGGGGGGGGGTGGGTGGGTTTGCAATATATCACCACAAAAAGCCCCAAAGATATATATATTTGAAACTAGCAATAAGGATATTAGGAGTATTATGGGCAATTTATTACATATAATAAGGATAGTATAGAGAATACAAGCACTTTACTTCAATTAAATGAAAGACTTCCCAAGAAGTCAAATTAGAAGCCATCCTAGCTAATTTTTAGGAAATGGACTTCCTGACACATTACTTTTGCAGAAATTCCTTCCTTCTAACCTCACCAAACATGAAAAAATAAAAAAAATTAGAAGGACTTCTATGGTCAGGAAGGACTTTGAGAAGTCTCGCCAAACACCACCTTTATATGGTCTTACATATGTGTACCAAAAAAAAATTTCTTTTTTGCCAAAATAATAAAAAAAAAAAACATGTTTCGTGTTTTTTGTTAATGCCGCTGAACTAATTTTATTTATTGCACCAATAAGACAATAATTAAACTAATAAAATTTACTTCATGAGCTAAAGAAATCTCAAAAACACCATACCTCCTTCAGGGTCAATGTGCTACTCTCAGAAAGTAAGAATACCGGAAAATTGTAATTGTTCCACATGATACCAGATCCCTGCAATTGACAACAATGACACTTTAGCTTCCCCAAAAAAAATATGTAAAGGATGCCCTACGACTTTAAAATTCAACAGTTGTTTGGTATTCAAAAGTTGATGTTCATTGTATAAACTATACAGAATAGTCACAAAATTTTGGACTGATCCTCATGACATTAACACTCATTTGATGAATTAAAATAAAATATCAAGCTCACTCATGTGAATAAAACCCAGCAAGACCAAATGTCGGCAATTTAATGACCACACAAAAAAAGCACTGTGGTTCTTAAGGAAATTGCATTATTGAGACTTCTCATAAGGTCCAACAAGGACTTGCATGTAAATTAGAAGCATAAACTGAGGCAAAAGGAGGCAGTCAACATCTGGAAAACAAGTTGGTTGAGTGCTTTGTTGCTTCTTGGATATCAAGTTTCAGCTTCACCTGACTGGTCGGTTGGGAGTCTATAGAGAGTGACTACTTTCTATGCAATTCCCAATCCAAATAATATTTAAATTCTATAATAAAAATAAATAAATAAATAAATAAATAAAAAGTGGCATCCCTTTATTTATTGGTAACTAGATCCTGAGCAGAGATATAACCACTCATCCCTTAATTTATTTGTATATTTCAGTAATTTGTGTATAGATGAAATGATGAGGAAGAAATCATAACAAAAGTCCAATCACAAATTAAATTTTTTTACTACACAAAAGCATAGAGTCCAAAAAAAAAAAAAATTTAAAAAAAAACCAACGCATTTATTTTAATGTCAAATCTTTTGATGGAAACTTAAAACAAGTGTTCTCGCATAAAAAGGCAACAATACCATGGCTATGGCCACAACATTCTTTATCTACCACAAGGATCACTAAGACAATCAAATCAACAAGGATAGAAAGAGAATTATATCACTGAATAACGAATCTTACTGTCATCCACCAGTGACTGAATAACCAAAAAAAAACATTTTCTCTACTCTTCTTCTAATGCTTGTGAAGACATAACAAACATTAATTTATTTAATAAATTCACATGTGCAATTTTAGTTCTTCATTGTTTCATAACCTCCAAGTGCCCAAGAACATTTTGGTGCAAGCCAAGAGTAACTTTTATGGTGAACACAAAAGTCAGTTAGAACAGCAGTAGCGAAGCCAGCCATGACAGGTATAGTGAGATAAGAAAGAAGCCAAAACATGTAAAAGCAAAAATATTAGTAAAATCAACAAAATTCCCTTTCCCTTTATTTTCTCCAAATAAGGACACTCATCAAGGCAAAAACTTTCAACAAATGTAAAAGAACTCCAAACCTTCTTTCTATTCCTCTCATTTCATAGAACCTAAGATATGGATACTTAATCTCTATTGATTCATCTCTAGTAGTTTCACAACATTATTACTCAACCAACCCAACATTACATCATGACAAATACTGCAAGCTTCTCAAACCCCAAATATTGTAAAAATGAAGTGCTAATAAATAACGCCAATCATCCCAAACAGGAGAATTAAAATTATCATTGCAAAGCAACCCTGCATTTCATGTTATTGACAGGAGTTCCATGCATACATCTAAAAGAAAGAGGCGTAACTTTGGTGTGGAATAACCCAATTAAGATGCCTGATGCTTGGAAAGCAATTCTAGAAAAAGGATGATAATTTTCCGATTGGGTAAATGATGTAAGACAACCATGGTGCAAAAGATTTAGTGCTTCCTGCAATCAATGAGAGTCTCAGCAAGAGGACATTGCAGTGCACAAATCCATGGAGAAATCAATATGATGTAGGACAATCATCTTGGGCCTTAATCTTCCGCAGTCCACTGGAGAGCAAACCTCCGCCTTTAACCCCAGCCACCGTGACCCACTACCTTCATTATCCTTCTAAGCTGTTAGTATCACCCCCACATGGCTATTTCATGTCTTTTTCCAGCACAAACTCCCAGTTGTGTACTCCCCCTTTCAAAATTCAAATCATTTCATCCAAAGCCTTCTATTCCTCCGTGTGTCCCTGCCCCTCTAAACTTTTTGATCAGCCCATGCACCCCTCAGCTATAAGAACATACACCCACATGTCTAGTAGGGAAATCAACAAAAGTGGGTTTTATAGACTGATTTTGAATAGATTTTAATGCTAAAGTTGGCCTAGTGGGCACAACTTGGAGCTTAGGGGTGTGATCCCTCCAGGTCTCAGGTTCAATACTCATTAGCAGCACTAAATTCCCTGGGACTAGTCCATACAGGCGTTTGCTCTGGCTTTAACACAAGTGAGCGGTGGGATTGGTCCCTTGGGATTAGAAGGGGTGCACATAAGCTGGAACAGACACCCGGTTATAAATAAACCAAACCAAACCAAACCAAACCTTAAGTCCCATCAAATGGGGTTGTCTACATGAATTCTTCTTCTCCACGCGACTCTATCAAAGGTCATTTCGTTAGTCAAATTAAGTAGAGTCATATCTCTATCTACAACGCTAGCCAACGTTAATCTAGGCCTACTTTGTCCCCTAACACTTCCATCTACCGTCACTGCGTCGCATCTCTTCACTACTACCTCTGTTGGTCTCCGTTAAATATGACCAAACCATCTCAATCGATTCTCTCTCAACTTATCTTCTATCGGAGACCGATGTAGCAAACACTGTGTGGTCGTGTCAGACCGATGTAGCAAACACTGTGTGGTCGTGTCAGACCGATGTAGCAAACACTGTGTGGTCGTGTCAGACCGATGTAGCAAACACTGTGTGGTCGTGTCAGACCGATGTAGCAAACACTGTGTGGTCGTGTCAGACCGATGTAGCAAACACTGTGTGGTCGTGTCAGACCGATGTAGCAAACACTGTGTGGTCGTGTCAGACCGATGTAGCAAACACTGTGTGGTCGTGTCAGACCGATGTAGCAAACACTGTGTGGTCGTGTCAGACCGATGTAGCAAACACTGTGTGGTCGTGTCAGACCGATGTAGCAAACACTGTGTGGTCGTGTCAGACCGATGTAGCAAACACTGTGTGGTCGTGTCAGACCGATGTAGCAAACACTGTGTGGTCGTGTCAGACCGATGTAGCAAACACTGTGTGGTCGTGTCAGACCGATGTAGCAAACACTGTGTGGTCGTGTCAGACCGATGTAGCAAACACTGTGTGGTCGTGTCAGACCGATGTAGCAAACACTGTGTGGTCGTGTCAGACCGATGTAGCAAACACTGTGTGGTCGTGTCAGACCGATGTAGCAAACACTGTGTGGTCGTGTCAGACCGATGTAGCAAACACTGTGTGGTCGTGTCAGACCGATGTAGCAAACACTGTGTGGTCGTGTCAGACCGATGTAGCAAACACTGTGTGGTCGTGTCAGACCGATGTAGCAAACACTGTGTGGTCGTGTCAGACCGATGTAGCAAACACTGTGTGGTCGTGTCAGACCGATGTAGCAAACACTGTGTGGTCGTGTCAGACCGATGTAGCAAACACTGTGTGGTCGTGTCAGACCGATGTAGCAAACACTGTGTGGTCGTGTCAGACCGATGTAGAAGACAGTTTACGGGGTCATGTCGGACCGTTGTAGCAGGACAGTTTATGGGGTCATGTCGGACCGTTTTTGGATTTATAAGGCCAAGTTTGGGAAGACTAAATAAGTGCACTTTTTGTCTTTTTGGACTAAAAAATTGAGATTGAAAATATGGATGTTTGGGTTAACTTTTTGACTTTTTATTGAAAAATGTGTAATAAAAAATTGTAAAAATTGGTTTGTAGAGGAAAATTTGAATTGGGAGTTGTGCAGCCGTAATTGTTGACTTTTGGTGAATAGTGTTAACTTTTTAACTTTTTGAGTAACTTTTTGGCTTTTTGACTTATTTGGGACTTCCCAAACTTAGCCTAAAGAGAAAATAATTGAGGTTGTTGCTAGGAATATCAAAGAAACAACACTTAAAGGCGGAACCTATGAAGCATGGGTACTTCAAAAAACATGCCGTACCCATACCGGATATTTACCGGCGTATGATATCTCGTATAGTACTTCTGCATACGTATTGGGTACACGAAACACATTAAAAATTTTTCTTCTTAATTTTTGACGTACTCAAACGTGCCTAGTATATACCCAAGTCGTACCGTACCTCAATTGAAACAATATTTTCTTCTATTAGAGAGATAAAACTCCTTTCACTAGATTTCTTTTTTATTTTTTGTTTTATGCTTAGCATGATTTTAAAATTAAACTATGGTTTGTAAGTTATTTAATATATTGATGTTTAATTTTGATTTATACTTTTACTTTTGACATTAAGGCTTGGTTTTGCATAACCTAAAAAAGCCAAAAAATCAAAAAGTCACTATCCTATTTAAGTTACATTATCTTATTTAAGTCACATCACCTCTCTACCACAACATTTCAAACCCAACCCATACCCAACTCATATTTCATAAAAAGTCAAAAGGTGCACTTATTTAGTTTATCCCAAACAAGCCCTAAATGTTAATTGTAGGTTGAACCTTAACAAATTTAACCATTTAATTAATTTTTGCATTACTCTAAATTAAAAATAAATATTTTTTACAGGCATAACAAGGTGTATCTGTACCTTGTTTTTTTTTTTGAATTTTACTGCATCGACGTACTCGTATCGTACTAGTACCAGTACTCATACCTGTACCCGTGCTTCATAGGGCGTAACCAACGGAAAGTTCTCACCTTAATAAAAACTGATTTGGATTAATTCAAGGATGTGATTTCTATGCCAATTGGCTTTATTATTTCAAACAAATTTAGTGACATAATTGAAAAGATTAATCTCTCATTATTTTTGTTGTTGTCTCCAATGAAGAAAAGGCAACGACAACTTGAAGATTTTAATATGAAGCTATGGATGCAATTGTAGAGCTTGTGGATTTTTATACTTCAATATTTTAAAACTTGAGGTCAAGTTTTCTCCAACCAAGGGAGAAAGATGCAGTCCACAACAGGAGCAAGGAAAACTAAAATTAAGGAAGCATTTATGTTTGAAAATTGCTTGGTT